CGCAGGAGGCCGAGGGCCTGGCGGGGCCTGGAGCAGGGGCCGGCACCTTGGCCGGGAAGGAGGCCTGACCTGGGTGGCTTCCCAGGTGCCGCTGCACTCAGATGGCCCCTTCCAGGCGCATGCCTCCCCGGCCGCCGGTCAGACTGCCCCCTCCGCGCTGTTCTCCCTCCATCCTTCAGAACTTCAGGCAGCCCGGCCTCCGTCCAGGCCGTGCTGTACAAACCCCAGGCTGTCACTCGCACCCTGGACCCCTCTGGCCCTCCTCCCATCCCATCTGACACTGAACTTGATCCTCCGTCTGACCCGTTTTGTAACCCCCATCAGCCCGCCCAGCAGCGCTCTGTCCCCCACACGCTCTGGAGGAGACGGGCAGGAGCTGCCCTTCCCCTTCCCTTGGTTTCCGGCTGGACAGTGGGATTTGAGCGGAGTGGGGAGGGCGCAGGGGGTCTGGGTGCCCTTTCGGATTGTGGGGTGGGGGGCGGGGTGGCAGACGCGGCTTGTACAGAGCAGAGATAATAAACGTATCACCAGGGCGGTGGAGTCTTTCCTTGCCTCCGGGGCCGGGATAAGTGCTGGCAGAGGGAAGGGTGAGGACACTCGTTTCCCCGGGATTTTGATTCTCCCACATCCTTCACCTCACCCCGCACCCTCTGCCTTTCCTCACCCCCTGGTATGGCTGAGTGATCACCACGTCCAGGACAGGTAAGTCTGCTTTCAGGAAATGCCAGCGTGCCCAGACTCCTTCCCCTTCAAGGGGCCATCGCATCTGTTCACAGCCAGCAGTGCCCGAAGCCCCATCCGCCACGCTTCGCTGGGCACCGGGAAACACGCCCTTTGTCCCCGAGAGAGACTGTCCTGGCCCGCCAGCGTGTGTTCTGGCCTCATGTGGAGTCACAGGTTGCTCAGAGCGCCTGCCTCCGGGATAATTTGGGGGCGTTCCTAAAGCCCTTCAAGCCCTCGTGTGGGTTCTCAGGATAGAGATGTGCAACGTGTGACCCCATTTGTCAGAAGAGGAGGCTGAGGTCCTGGAGAAGGGAGTCTCCAAGGACACCAGGCGGGGTCGGGCCAGAGCCGGCCTTGCAGTCCCACACACCTTGGTGTGGGACGAAGACACAGTCTAATTTGCCCCCCCCAACCCCCCCCCACACACACACACCCCGGAAGGTGGCCACCACGCTGTAATGCTGAACACCCACTGTCCCAGGCTCAGAAGTCCCCGGATGGGGAGCAGCACCCTGAAACACCCACGGGCTGAGGGAGCACGGAGGAGTCACCTTACAGACCCAAGGGCCAAACCAGCTTCCGGGAGGAGAAAGTGACTCCTGAGCCATGACATAAAGCCGGGTCACGCGGGCCAAGGATGCCAGGGGGAGGGCTTAGCGTGTCTGGCCAAACCTGGCTATTCTGGACAGTTTCAAACAGATCAGAACAGATGGGAGGGTTGGGGTGCGGGAAGGTGATCCTGAAGGAGCTCGGGTGACCCCAGACTCTGGAAGCTGGTGGCTGCCAGGCCGATCCCAGCCCCTGACACATTCTGATTAGCCTGTGTGTGCAAACAAGAAACAGCCCTACGGCGTGCTCAGTGGCTGTGAATCAGGAGGTCACGGTTCAATTCCCGGTCAGGCACATGCCTGGGTCGTGGGCTCCGTCCAGGAGGCAGCCGATCAATGATTCTCATCATTGATGTTTCTATCTCTCCCTCTCCCTTCCTCTCTGAAATCAATAACAATAGATTGAAAACAAAGAAAAACACCCAAAAATGTGGACTTGGTTGCCAACGTTTGAAAATCAAAGCATTTTACATAACGTGAACTGCTGGAAAATGTCGATGCTGTCTGCCCAGCCTGCCTCCTTCAGGCAGGAGCCATGCAGATGGGGCACCCATTCTCCAACCTGTCACCAGGCCCCACTCCCCCACCCCAACTCTGAGCCCCAGTGCCAGCCTCCATATTTCCCCTGGAACCCGCCACCTTCCTCATTTCACTCGGCCCCAGCAGGCACCCAGGTTTAGACCCCTTCTCAAAGCCACGAGGGGCTGTGGGCTGGAGACCAGGTGGGATCTGTGGTTCTGCAGGAGGCTCGTGGCTGTGGGATGGAGAAGGGAGGCAGGGCCCGGAGGCTGGGCAGCTGCATGGTTATCCCCAGGTGAGGCCTCATTGGCTTGGTCTACGAGTAGTGATGGTGCAAAGGACCATTCAGGTCCCAAAGAAATTTCACTGGCTCGGGAGCAGGACATTGAAAAGGGATTAGATAAGCGCGTGAGGGGGTGAAGGCTCAAGTGACAGGCCCAGG